TTTTTTTTATTTTCTGACCGCAGCCAGCCAGACTTAGAAATTCCAATAGTTTTTTTTTTTTTTGGTGCTACTTATCTCCACCGACCCACTCACCCCCACCCACTCACCCCCACCCCACCTCATAACGTCACATTTTGCACTTACTTTGTGTCATGAAGTATGACATGAGAAAGGCGAAAGACAGCACGTTGAAAACGTACAGCGTCTGCCAAATCATAATGATGGCCGGGTCGGTCTTGAAGACGACCCCGTAGCTGGTCACGTCCAGGCAGAACATCACCAGCAGAAGTAGCGCCACCAGGAACCCGACAGTGAACTGGGTCTCGTGCCACACGAACCAATAGCTGGACGAGGTGAGGCCTTTCAGTTGGAGGGATTTCTAAGGAAACAGAAGGCAACACGAACTGATAGCTGGACGAGGTGAGACCTTTCAGTTGGAGGGATTTCTAAGGAAACAGAGGGCAACACGAACCACCAGCTGGAGCTGGGTGAGGTAAGGCCTTTGAGCTGGAGGAATTTCAAAGGAAACAAAAGGCAACACGCATTGTTGCCGTTTTTAATCGTATTTAGAAACTAAAGCTATCCAACAATTGATCGTCAAAGTTAATTTAAGAGTAATATACAATATCATGAAAATGACGGGACATGCCAATTCCTTTTTATTTTTCATGTGTCCCAAAGATATTAGGGTCAGAATTCGACCCTCCAATGACAGAACAGGGTGTTTCATGACTGAGACCAAAGGGTGAAGGGGTGGGAGATGTGTTATAAAACGTATCTGTATCCACTTTCTTTTTTCACTTTTGTAACATCTCCCCCCCCCCTTTTTTTTTCCGGACCATGGAATTCATGTCGGTCTCAATTGAATCAGCTGAGTTGCATATTTATTGGGTAAGAGCTGGGAAGGGGGTGTATGTAAAGTGGGAGTGTATGTGCCTTTATGTGACTTTAGCCAGATAAAGGGAATTTCCGGCGTATGTGACTTGAGTTAGATAAAGGGAAGCTACTGGTGTATGTGCCTTTAGTTAGATAAATTAAATCTACTGGTTTGTGCGCCTTGAGTTCGATAAAGCGAATTTTCTTTTTTATCCACGTTCAGGCAAAGGGAACGCATTAAGAAATGAAGCTGGGCAGCGAGTCGGAGCTCAACAATGAATGTGTGCTTGGCTGACGGCTCACCCTGAAACCTGTCACCCGCTCCACGGTCACAAAGTGGGCGCTGAACGCCGCCAGGCAGATGTAGAAGAACGTGGAGAACACGAAGACGACCCTCACGTTTCTGATGCGGGTGGCCTCGGGGTTCTTCGTCTGGGGCATCCGCTGCACCCTCAGCCCGAACTCGGACAGGTTCCTGTCGCCCGCGGCCATCCAGTACTTGGTGAAGAATCTCGTCACGTGATACTGCGTCATCAAAAAACCCCCTTCGTCATAATCTAGGAAAATATTTAAGGTCGTTAGTCTCTAATAAAAAATATGGAGAATCATTATCAGGGGAGGATCTAGTGGTGGGAAAGAGGGGGGGGGGTTAACAAATATCACAAGGTGGTTCATTGATCAACTCCTACATGTAAAGTTAATTGTAACACAATAAATATAAAAAAAAACGATGACTGGGAACCTAGTCACCTCCCCCCCCCCTCCCCACAAACAATTTTTATTATTTTATTTTTAGGCCTAGAAACCGAC